AAGGATGTCATGCTTGGTAGGGTGGAGGGTCGACGAAAGAGGGGGAGGCCTTCAAGGAGATGGATTGATATGGTGGCTGCGATGATGGGATCAAGTATAGCAGGGATTGTGAGGCTGGCGCGAGATCGGTCAGTGTTTCGTTCTGCTGTGCATGGGGTCGCTATGAGTCGGAAACGACTCGACGGCACTTAACAACAACAACAATATTGTAAATAAGGTGCATGGCAACCTTTGTCGGGGTTGGGCCGTGCAAATAAGATCTATGGAACCCTCATGTGGGGATTGCTCAGTTTTGCCATTCTGTTATGCTTAAAATAAGTCATCCCAGAGGGGGAAAGTGGGGATTTCGCTGTGATCAAGAAAGAGATCCAGGATAGAGCATGTCATTTGGACCCACAATATCTGCAATGAGCCTCCCCCACCCAGGAGACAGGGAGAGCTGTAACACTTTACAGGGATGACAAGAGATGGTAAGACACAGTGGCAGAGAAATGGTGGCAGAATCAGGAGACCAGGCAGGAGATAGCACAGTGGGCTTCCCAGCCCACAGTGCTAGAAAGCTGAGTTCCTTTGGACTGGAGGTTACTGGCAGAGTGTGGTGCCTCTAAGCGCTTATCAGCAGAGCTAAACACTGTAACACTTGCCTGAGCAGGGCAAAGGCCAAAGGGCCATGAGGAAGAGGTGTGCCCGCAAGGCACTGCTGAGAAGAGACTGTCCTGATCAACAAACTGTATTTCAAGTCATTTCTGATCCTAAATTGTAACCTGTTACTTCCCTAATATACCCCATAATCACGAGCATTGTCTGTGAGTTCTGTGTGGCCATTACAACAAATTATCAAACTCAGCAGAGTAGAGTAGAGAGTGCCATGGGAAGGGACAGTTGGAGTAACAATTGGTAAAAAGCTTGGAGGGTGGAGGCATGTCTCACCTCTGCCTCATAGGAATCGGCATTGGGCTGTTGCTCTTGATCCTCCTCTCCCCTTGGGAAGTTAGAGGAGGTCAGTTACCTCTGCCACACCATTTTTAAACAGCCATATAAGTAAATCCATAGAAACAGAAGCAAATTGGTGGTTGCCAGTGCCTAGGGGTACGGGGAGATATGGAGTGACTACTCTGGTGGTGTAGTGCCTAAGGCATTTGACTGCTAACCAGAAGGTTAGTGATTCAAACTCACCAGCCACTCTGCAGAAGGGAGACTGGGCAATCTACTTCTGTAAAAATTTACCACCTGGGTAACCGAAAGGGAGTCGCTATGAGTCAGAATCAACTTGGTGGCAGTGGTTTGGTTTTTTGGTTTACTTAATGGGTATGGAGTTTCTTTTGGGATGATGAAAATATTTTGTAACTTGATATAGGTAGTAGTTGCACAGCATTGTGAATATACTACAAAAAAAAAAAAAAAAAAAAACAAGCTCATTGCTGTCGAGTTAATTTAGATTCATAGCGACCCCTCTTTGGGTTTCTGAGGCAGTATCCCTACGGAAGTAGATTGTCCCATCTTCCTTCCGAGGAGTGACTGGTGGGTTTGAACCACCCCTTTTGGTTAGCAGTCAAATGCCTTAGGCACTACACCAGCAGAACTCCTGAACATACTAATTGCCACCGAACTGTATACTTTAAAATAGTTAACTTTGTATTATACGAATTTCACATCAATTATTTTGAAAATATGCACTACAGGAAAAGAGATGGGCATTTTTAAGAAACTATATATGTAGCTGGAGCATAGTAAACTAAAGAACAAGTAATATCCAATAAAGTTGGGGACTGTATAGAGCCTTTTGTGTTAAGATTGGGATTTTGGGATTGCAACCAGAATTTATAAATCCTTCTCATCTGAAAATTCCCTTGGTGGTGCAAATGGTTAACACGCTTGGCTGCCAACCCAAAATTGAAGGTTAAAGTCCATCCAGAGGCACCTCAGAAGAAAGGCATGGCAGTCTACTTCCGAAAACTCAGCCATTGAAAACACCATAGAGCACAGCTTTGCTCTGACACATGTGGGGTCGCCGTGAGTCAAGGTCAAGCGTACAGCAACTGGAGTTTTTAATCTCAAAGGACACATCAAGCTGAGATTTCATTACTATAATAATCAGTGAATATTAATTTTAGAAAATAGAAAATAATTTTTAATATTCAGCTTAAATTTTATTTCAGGAAATACTATAAAAGAGAAAATATTGATATAGTATTTCTTAACAAGGTATCTTATTTCAAATTATATGTAGAGCTATTAAATGATAATTCATCAAAGGTAAATGAATTGTTTCTAGACATTTTTAACTTTTTAATTTCTAGAAACGTCTAGATTTAACTTGTAGCATTGAAAGACTTTCTTTAGACCATATCATCATATAATTCAAAAATGTTTTACATAAAGCTGTGTGACATAGGGAGACAAATGCTACCAAAACCTCCTGCCATTGAGTCAATTCCAACTCCTAGTGATCCTTTAGAACAGAATAAAATGGCTCTGTAGGGTTTCCAAGGCTTTAAATCTTTGTGGGAGCATACTACCTCATCTTTTTTCTGTGGAGCAGCTAGTGAGTTCCAACCATTGACCTTTTGGTTTGCAGTCTAATGCTTTAAGCATTGAACCACTAGAGCTCCTTTGACAAAGCTTTTTTTTTTTTTTTTAAATAGTACCTATTCCAAACATGGGAGCTCTGGTGTCATAGTGCCTAAGGCACTTGACTGCTAACCAGAAGGCTGATGGTTCAAACCCACCAGCCACTCTTCCGCAGTAAGGTTGGGCAGTCTACTCCCTTGGTGATAACTGCCTCGGAAACCCAAGGAGGGGTCGCTATGAGTTGGATCTGACTCGATGGCAATGAAATTCCAAAAATGAAATTTTAGATTTTACATTAAAGCATTATTCAAGAAGAAAATGGTAGCGTAAAGGAGGCAGTATTGGTGACCTGGTTCATATCTCATCCTGTCAGTTGTTAGGTGACCTTGAGCAAGTCCCAAAGCCTCTCTGGACATTAACGTCAATAGCCAGAGTAGATACAAGGAGATGCAATGTATGGAACTGGATTTGATCCTAGTTTGAACAAACCAGCTTTTAAGTATATACTTGAAAAAAATTTTTGAATAGATAAAATTCGAATGAAATTGGAAAAGTTTATTGGCTGAAAAAGAAAACAATTTGAAGAATGTATATAAAGTGTACTCTCCTTTTGGTTAAAAATACTATGTAGATTTGTATGTATCTATTTGTAAGGGGCTCTGATAGTGCCTAAGGCACTTGACTGCTAACCAGAAGGCTGGCAGTTCAAGCCCACCAGCCACTCCTTGGAAGGAAAGTTGGGCAATCTACTTGCATAGTGATACTGCCTCAGCAACCCAAGGTGGGGTCGCTATGAGTCACATACGACTCGACAGCAGTGGGTTTATCTACTTATCCAAAGACCCAGATTAAAGTTTTAATTTGTTTTTGGCTTCTTTATATTTTCTGAAAAGCATATGTGCTGCTATAGTAATAAAAGGATTCCTTAAAATTAATATAGGCATAATCATATTTTATTATTTTAAAGCAGAACAGAGAAGGGCTATTGGGAGGCATATAAATATTCACAGGAAGCTAGCCATTGATTTTGAAAGCTTTGATCATTTAATTCAGTCATTTCTAATTATTATGTGTTACTAGAAGGAGCTCTGGTGGCACAGTGCCTAAGTCATTTGACTGCTAACTAGAAGGTCAGTGGTTCAAACCTACCAGCCACTCTGTGGAAGAAAGACTGGGCAATCTACTTTCATAAACATTTACCACCTCAGAAACCCAAAGGGGGTTGCTGAGTTGGAATCAACTTGATGGCACTGAGTTTGAGAGGTTTTTTTTTTTTTTTTTGGATGGGTTACTGGTAGATATGTTATTTGTGTGATATCTCTGCCATCTTTTCTAGAGGCATTCAGAAGTCCAGTATTTCGTCATGGAACAGATAAGAATGGATTCAGCTTGGGTTTCAGCAAAAACATGCGACAAGTTTTTGGTGATGAAAAGAAGTATTGGTTGCTACCTATTTTTTCAAGGTACCTAATGAAAAAAAATTATGCAAATAAACTAATGAAAGTAATTCAATAAAAGACTATTTTAAGAAAAGTTCTCGTTCCATTGATCTCTACAGGTATATAGTTCTATGTAGGAACTCCTCTTTTTTAAAGCATTATTTTGTGATTCACTCTTACATCAATGTGAAAACCAGTCAATTCATCATCTCCCTAAACATAAACCTTGTATTGAATCTAATGTCTGATATATACATTTGGACTGTGATACAGGTTATTATCTCTCAGACATCACCATTTGAACAGAGTTCCACTCAATTGTCTGTCTTCTTCATGGTTCAATAATACGAGTTTATGTTTTTATTATAGTCTAGGTGATGGCTGCTCTTTTCCAACTTGCCTTGTTAACCAGGATCCTGAACAACCATCTACTCCTGCAGGACTGAATTCAACAGCCAAAAAGTAATCCCATATATATTTTTTTCTATTTTATTTTCAGATGAGGTATTTCATCTTCTATGTCCTTTGGTTATACATTACTTTGAAAACATTTTTGAAGAACATCAGATAATTTACTATAATAGATTCCACTTGAAGTGAAAGAGGGAGAATATGATTGGGGAGGGGTATATAGGAAGCTTTGATTATGTGTGCAAAATTCTATTTATTTATCTGAGTGGTGGATAAACAGCTGTTTCTTCTCCATACATTTTGATTAACTGAATTATTTCATTATTTGTAAAGTGCAGTGGTTAAAATAAATAATAAGCTAAAATTAGCTTCCCCATTGCTTAGGTGAGTAGGAAAGATAAAATTTCCCTCTGATCCTCAAAGCCCTTCTGCTCCATGGTAACTGTTACAAGGAGATCTGAGAAATTTCCCTCAATAAGGCCTTTGAAGATCAAATGGACCTCCATATACCTGCTTGAGAATTCCATTATTATTATAAGCCATATTCTTACCAGTACCAGTTGCTATGGACTTGATTCTGACTAATGATGACCTCATGTGTATCAGAGCAGAACTGAGTTTCATAAGGTTTTCAATGGCTAAATCTTTGGAAGTAGATTGCCTGGGCTTTCTTTTGAGGTGCCTCTGGGGGTACTTGAACCTCCAAACTTTTGGTTAGCAGCCAAATGTGTTAACCATTTGTACCACCCGAGGACTCTACCTTACTCTTCATGTTGTTGTTAAGGGTAGTTGAGTTGGTTCCAATTCATAGCGAACCTATGCACAATAGAATGGAACACTGCTCAGTGCTGGGCCATCCTCACGGTCACTGCTATGTTTGAGCCCATTGTTGCAGCCACTGTGTCATTTCATCTTGTTGAGGGTCCTTCTCTTTTTCACTCACCCTCTACTTTATCAAGCATGAATTCCTTCTCCAGAGACTGTTCCTTCCTGATAACGTGACCAAAGTATGTAAGATGAAGTCTTAGCACCCTCCCTTCAAAGGAGCATTCTGGCTGTACTTTTTCCAAAACAATCTGTTCATTCCTCTGTCCATACATACTACTTCACCAACACCATAATTCAAAAGTACCAATTCTTCTTCAATATTCCTTTTTCATTATCCAGCTTTCACATGCATGTGAGGTGATTGAAAATACCATTACTTGGGTTAGGCACACCCTAGTCCTAAAAGTGACATTTTTGCTTTTGACTACTTTAAAGAGGTTGTATGCAGCAAATTTGCCCAATGTAATAGGTCATTTGATTTCTTGACTGCTGCTTCCATGGGTGTTGATTGCGGATCCTAGTAAAATGAAATCCTTGACAACTTCAATCTTGTCTCCATTTATCATGATGTTGCTTATTGTGAGGATTTTTGTTCTGTTTAGGTTGAGGTATAATCAGTACTGAAGGCTGTAGTCTTTGATATTCATCAGTAAGTGCTTCAAGTCTTCTTTACTTTCAGCAAGCAAGGTTGTGTCATCTGCATATTGTAGGTTGTTAATGAGCCTTCCTGCAATCCCAATGCTATCTTCTTCTTCATACAGTCCAGCTTCTCAGATTATTTGCTAAACATACGGATTGAATAAGTATGGTGAAAAAATACAACCCTGATACCCACCTTTCCTCCTTTTAAACCATGCAGTATCCTTGTTCTTTTCACATGAGGACAATTAAGTGTTTTGGAATTCCTATTCTTTGCAATATTACCCATAATTTGTTATGACCCACACAGTTAGTGCAACATAAGTATACATCTTTCTGGTATTCTCTGCTTTCAGCCAAAATTCATCTGACGTCAGCACTGGTATCCCTCATTTCACATCCCCTTCTAAATCCAGCTTAAATTTCTGGCAAATGGTGTTGATGTACTGCTGCAAACAGTTTTGAATTATCTTCAGAAAAATTTTACTTCCATGTGATAATGATATTGTGTGATAATTTCTGCTTTCTGATAGATCACTTATCTTTGAAAAGGGTTCAAATATAGATCTTTTCCAGTTGGTTTCTATGTAGTTGTCTTCCAGATTTCTTGGCATAAATGAGGGAGCATCCCCAGCATGGAATCCATTTGTTGAAATACTGCACTGCATATTTCATCAACTCCTGGAGCCTTTTTGCCAATACCTTCAATGCAGGTTGGACTTCTTCCAATACTGTAGTAGTTTAGGTTCTGTGTCAACTTGCTTGGGCTGTGATTTTGAGGGGTTGGGCAGCTGGATGTAGGTATTCCCCATGATGAGACTGGTAATCAACTCCACGGTGGAATCTGCTGTGAGCAGCTGAGTAGCTGCCTTAGGCATGTGTTCTGCTTCAGTATATAAGAAGAAGTTTTGAGAAAGCTCTCGAGCTCTTTGGAACACTGGGATCCTACATTTAGCTAAGTCTTCTTTCAGCAGCCTGCCATGTTGCCTGCCACTCTTGGGACTGTTTCTGGACTTCAACTACTGGCCTGCCGTGTTGCTTGATAATCTTGGGACTGTGCTATTTACTTGTTGACCCTGGGTTTGTCAGCCTCAGCAGCCAGCTGCTGGCTGAATTAAGAAATGCCTCCAGCTCCAGTGTGCTGGGAGCAGTAGGCAGAGCTGAAGCCCAAGGTTGAGAGGCCTTCACCCAAGCCCTAGAATTGGCACTTTTAACTCTGCTTCTAGTGTCCTAAACTGTAAAAGCATAAATCCCTGTTTGTTAAAGCCATACACTTGTGGTATTTCTGTTATAGCAGCACTAGATAACCAAAAACTGCCATCAGATCTTCCTCATATGCTACCTCCTGAAAGGGTTGAATGTTGACCAATTCTTTTTGGTACATTGATTCTATGTATGCCTTCCATCATCTTTTGATGTTTCCTGTGTCATTCAATATGTTGCCCATAGAATCCTTCAGTATTACAATTTGATGCTTGAATTTCTTCTTCTGTTCTTTTACCTTGAGCAAGTTCTTCCCTTTTAGTTTTCTAACTTCAGGTCTTTGCTCATTTCATTATAATACTTCGCTTTGTCGTCTTCAAAATCTTCTGTTCAGCTATTTTTTTTTAAATTAATTTTTTTATTGTGATTTGGGTGAAAATTTACAGAGCAATTCACTTTCATTAAAACAGTTCACATACACTTTGTCTCATGACATTGACTACAATTTACCTCAATGCAACAGCTCCCTTCCCACTTCCTTCTGATAGCTACCTCTTTCCTGTGTCCATCCCTCCATGCACTCCTGCCCCCTGAGCTGTCTCCCTGTGCATAAACAGCCCCTCTTTCTCCCATGATTGATCTCTCCAAGGAGTGTATCCATCTCAGGTAAATGTTCAACTCATATGCCTGTCTTTTGTTTGGCTGAACCCATGTGTGGGTTCAATTCCAGGCCTAAAGGGCAGCTAGGGGCCATAGTCTCAGGGGTTCCACCAGGCTCTATCTAACCAGCAAATCTGGCCTCCCCCTCTCCACCCCCCGATGACTTTGAGTTTTGTTCTGTATTATTCTCCCTTTCTATCCAGGTCTCCTACATAGATACCCCTCCTAGTGGTTGACAGTGGTAGCTGGGCATCGTCTGGTTCTTCTGTTCTCATAGTTGTATATGCTGCGGATCGCATGGTGTACCAGTCACTAGGACTAATTATTTCCATCAATCTTTAGTTTTCTTCATTCTTCTTTGCTCTGGGTGAGGAGAGACCCTTCATTACATCTAGATGGCTGCTTGCAAGCTTTTAAGATCCCAGTTGCTACTCGCCAAAGAAGGAGGTGGAACAATTTTTGGGTAGTATTTTATGCCAATTGAGCTTGATGTCCCCTGCGACTGTGGTCCCAAGCCCACGGGTTCAGCTACTCACTTCCTCTGGGTAGCTGGCTGTGACCAAGCAGTGACTACAACCTTGTCCCTTGTCAGCTCTACTGTACACCTTAGAATTCTTACAGATCATACAAATACACTTTTAGGAGCATTGTCTGCCAACCCTATAGACGGCCTTGTGTGCACTCCCCACTTCATAGACATACCTAATAGTTCAGCATGTGCATGCATCTAACCACCTGTATACCTATGTTTGCCTCCACTGACAACACAGTACTGTATATGAAAAAAGGTTCATCTTTATTGTCTGGACCTCCCATGTACCTCTCTATGTCTTCCTCTTCCTCAATGCCACC